GCACAGACGTACTGAAGAGCGTGCAATAGTTATTTCCATCACACTGTAATATAGCAATCTCCATGTCAGTGAGTGAAACATTATGTTTTTTCAGTTGAGATGTATTATCTCAGCTAAAGTATATTAGACAGTCTGCTGTGTTATGTTCTGCTCCATCTGGTCAGTCATTTAGGTTCAATAGCAAGTATCAATGGAATTGTTTCTTATCAAGTGTTTCAGTGCGGTTAAATCCTTGATTTGGTAAAACAGTCTGAAAAAGTAATTACTGTGCATATGCAGATTTTCCTGGTTTTGAAGTTTATGGCACCCAACCATACTGAAAGTAAGCAGAATTACAATGGGGAAAATGGAAGAAATGCAGATTTCTGTTGCTTGCACTCTACAGTCCCTAGTGTGCAGAAGCCCTACCCAAGCTCCTCAGTCAGGAAGGTCAGGGCTCTGGACTGGAACGCAGTAGAGACAGAGATAAAAAGCAGCAACTGTCTGTAAAGTATCCCTCTTCCCTAAATTTCTGGCCACCCTTTAGAACACTTGTCTCTCTTCTAGCCATGCTAGCTTCTCCAAACTGCAGTACTATGGTAGCGGACAAGGACAGCTTTTGGACAGTGCACTCTGGAAGGCGTAACATTTAAACATGAAAGTGTCTTGTCACAAAAGGGTTACAGAGGACTATACCAAGTACCTTGGTTCCTCACGTAATCAAAAGAGGTAGTAGTTTCAGGCATCTAAATGAAATACTTATCCCATTAAGGAGAGCATACACGTACTTTGGTAGAGCAATCAGGGTCTCCCACTGGTCTGAACAATGGAGCTATAAAGGACCCAGGTGGTTCCAGTGATCACTTCTTGTGCCATACCTTAGTGGGTAAGGCTTTTGAGTAGGAGCGTTTGATTCTTGGATCTTTGTTTTCTGGATCTTTAAACTCACTTTGATTTCTCAGGAGCTTAGATTAACTGGATCTGAGACCCTGAGATTTGTGAGGCCAGGAAAAGAGCCAGCAAAAATAGTTGACTGAGCGTGCTAGTGAGAAGAAGCTTCTGTTTGGAGGCAGATATATTGGTTTCAGTTTTCTGCAGCAGCAGTTGTTTACTTACTTTGATTAAACAGTTCCTGGAAGCAGAGTGCTCTCCTGGGAACAGGGAGACCAGATTCTGGGCCCCCAAAACTAAGAGTTCTGATGGTTCCCTTATCTCAAACGGGTGCTCAAACAAGTAGAGAATCATAGAATCATAGAATCATAGAATAGTTAGGGTTGGAAAGGACATTAAGATCATCTAGTTCCAACCCCCCTGCCATGAGCAGGGACACCACACACTAAAGGCTCTGTCCAACCTGGCCTTGAACACCTCCGGAGTTGGAGCATTCACAACTTCCTTGGGCATCCTGTGCCAGTGCCTCACCACCCTCACTGTGAAGAACTTCCTTGTATCTAACCTAAACTTCCCCTGTTTAAGTTTAAAGCCATTCCCCCTTGTCCTACCACTAGAGTCCCTAATGAATCTGTTTCTACATGTGTTTTGGTCTGATCTCAATCCTGTTGTCAGTGGTCCAAGAATGACTTGTGCCTTACGCCTCTGTGGGGACTCATGGAAAAGATACATTTCATGCTATATCTGAATTGTAACACTATCAGCTACCTGTCTCTTCAGGCTAGGGTGTTTCTGAGCAGAAATGCAAGTCTATATTTAGGTCCTTAGAGCCTTTTGCATCACTCAGTTGAGGTGCTATTAGCCTTTAGGCACCTCCAGGTTATGATAGTAATGAATTCTCAGCAGTCAGTATAGCTCCTTCGGCATCCAGCACCTACATTCTGTGCAAGTCTCAGGTGCCAAAGCTGATGGTTTAAACTGACATTGCTCCGCTGACTGACAGATTTACACCAGCTGAGAATGTGGTGGTGGTGGTTCGATGTGTGGGACAAATGTGCAGGCGTGTGAGGGATGAGCAGTAGGGCCAGTAGTGCCAGGGATCTTCAGGCCAGAGGCAATCCGAGACAGGAAGGCTGAGCACCCAAGCCATGTGTAGCTGGTACTTCTTTGCCCTAATTACCTTAAGGTCAGCATTTTGAAGATCTCTTTTTGCCTTTTGATTTGCTTGCAGCTCACTAAATGGCTCTACCCTCAGCAAACTGTTCATCCAGAAATTCATAAAGTGCCTTTCCCGGGGTTTCCTAGTCCTTCTGTTACTCTGCTGAGCATTTCCACTCAGGAAGGAAAGATATGACCATGACTCCATTGTTTTAAACATATCTTTGTTGCTTTCCTCCAAGTGTCAAAGGAACACGCAAATGACACCCTAGCCTATAAAAGTCAGACACTTCAGTCAGGTTGGTTTTCTGAAGAAACCAAAAGGTAATGGTGACCACAGGACATATTTTATTATCCTGCCTTCCCCCCCAGAAATATTTATTTTAATAGAAGAAATCTTCTGGGCCCCTAACAGTTTTTCATCTGTATTAAGGTATGGATTATGGTGAACAGCTGATGATGGAGCAGCTATTGAGTATAATACTCAATAGCTCATATTGAGCAGCTACTGAGTTTATAATGTTACATCTGTAATACATTTTGTTGTGTCTATGGTACATTTATCCAATTATTGTGTTACTTCGTACTACTCCACAACTAAGGTTTGTCCAGTATTGTATAGATGGCAAGAAAAAGGGAGTTCCTGGTTTGGAAGTGTTTGCAGTCTTGGAGGGGAGGTAGAAGGGAAAAAGGTGCAGTAGGATACCAAGGGAGCTGTCTGTCAGTGTGTAGCAGAACAGTGGCAGCAAGCAGTGAAACCTTCCAGGAGCACATCACCTGACAAATGTAGTGTCATTTAAATACCTTAGATGCTTTCCAGGAGAGAACTGGTTTACTTACCAGCAAGATCTACTAGGTCTTCCACAAGAGACTGCTACTGTAATTCTGCATCCTCTGCACAGCCATGTGTTTGCATGCATATATGTATAGGTTTCTCTCTCTTACACTTTTTTTTAAAATATGTCTTCCCTGTTGCTGTTTCTCAACAGGAGGAACGTCGTGTGATTTATCTGGGTAAAATCAGACCTGACACAACCAGAACAGAACTGAGGGACCGGTTCGAAGTTTTTGGTGAAATTGAGGAGTGCACAGTAAATTTGCGGGATGATGGGTAAGAACTTTTGAGATTACTTCTTCTTTGGAAGCTGCCATATGTAAAAAATTATGGCAGTAAGATTACTGGTATTGGAGTTACCAATATAAGTGCTGTGACAGATAACATGCTGAGTTCAAAACCTTATTTATTTTCTTTCATCCTTATTTATTAATCTCGCTAGTTGAGATTTCCTGTCCCAGAAATAAGTATTTAGCTGCATGACAGGACAATCATGCTGATAAATGGATGCAGTACTTCTGGCATTTCCACTGCTGGATCTCCTGCGTGTTCTTGCCTTCAGGAAGGGGTTACACTAATGTGTGTTAACTCTTTTCAGCTTTTGTTCACAACTGTATTTTTCAACTGCAGAGACAGCTATGGTTTTATCACCTACCGCTATACTTGTGACGCCTTTGCTGCTCTTGAAAATGGATACACTTTACGCAGGTCAGATGAACCTGACTTTGAGCTGTACTTCTGTGGACGCAAGCAATTTTGCAAGTCTAACTATGCAGACCTAGGTAGGTGTTTTGCCGTATGTGAATTACATAACTGTAACCTTGTAACTCAGGAGAATTTAGGGTTTGCTTCTTTTTTGTTTGCTGCTTATATTGTTTAAATGATGGGGGGGTAAAGGAAGTGGTTTCCACGTGCTGCAAGAAGTTTAGAAGTCTGCTAATCTGAACTCTAATATGATCCATCTTCTTTCAGCTATTTCAGACTGTGAAAATTCTTTTAAAGCCGATTTCCATCATTATAAAAAATAAGTGCTCTATATTCAGTAATACATTTCCATATGGAAATGATAGCACAACAGAAACCTCCTGCATGCTTTACTATTCACTGCTATGCTATGACTGCTTGGTCCTAACACCTGATTTATTTATATGAGCAATAAACAGAGAACAAACTAGATGCCTCACTCCAAAAAATCGTTATGAATCTTACTTTGCCGTGAGTTGTGCTGTAGATGTGTAGAACTTACCAAAGACCATCCTTAACCACAGTTCATAGTTTCTCAGGTTTGAAAGCTAGAAGGGCTTGTGACCAAATCTGACCCTTAGTGTAGCATAGGTTACTGATCTCAACTGATGGTTCTCTAATCATGCATAGGCATCTATGTATGAAGGTGTGTCCTTGCAGGGACATCCTGTCATAATGTAAACGGCTCCAGTCTGTGGAGAGCTTAGAAAATCTCTTGGTGTTTGCTGTCCCACTGATGCAGAGCAGCATGCATACCAGTCCTCAGCAGCCCGTATGCTATGGTAACACCATTCCCAAGTGTGCATATTGACTGCCATAACACATCTGGGTCTGTCCTAGTCCTGTCTGCGCAAACATGTGTGGTGCCATCCTGTCCTCTGGGTCAGGGTGTGATGCTCCCCCTTGAAAGGATGTTCGGAGATGTTCAAAGTTTTACGTCAGGAATACTGTTGTTAAGTATATGCATAAAGACACCATGCAGACTACCAAAACAGCCTCTGTAATGTTATAATGTATTATAAACTCACATCATTTAATTACCTTTTAAAATGTAAAGTATTCATTAAATGTTAAACCTTTCCTAATACCTGTATAAATAGACTAAAGTTATGGGAGATACTCTTTTCTGCATAACATAGCAAGGGACATTTTGCCGTTGATTCTATATTAATCAGATATTGTGGGGTTTTATGAATAAATGACCACAGTCATTAAAATCTCTCATAACTCTGTAATGCAGTGCTAATGAAATCTTGTATGTGCTGCCCTCGGCTTTGTACAGTGCGGGGAGAGAATACAGATTTTTTTTTTTTCTAACCAATTGATGTCTTTTCAGAATAAATGATAAAGATGATACACATTGTTCACAATGAATATGCTATAATTCACTTCAGTGGCTAAAAAGATAATGTAAAGCTAAGAAAAGGCAATTGACTGCTGAACAGATATAGGGTTGATGTTGAAAATATAAAAGGTAGCAAGGCATTTGTCGAAATGTAGGCTGATAAAAACAGTAAAAACAGATTGAAGTCTTGACTTGATTTGACTTATCATCAGCAGTGGAAGCCAAGGTCATCTCTGTATCTCAGAAAATCTCGGGTTTAAAATAAGTTGTCTGAAGGGAACCCTCTTGAACATTATTCATCACTGGGAGTATTCCCTGGCAGGCCTCTCGTACCAAGTGGGATTCCCAGAGTATCTGTGAGCAGAGTATTTTCACTCTGTCCTGCTGACAGCTTGAGCTTCTGTACTTCACACTGCATTCCCTGTATTTTGCAGAGTATCTGATAGAACTACATAAGGAAATGGCAGGATGAACTTTAAAATTCATGAGCTAGTACAAGGACAGAGAGAATTAATCAGCCTTGGGTTGAGTACAGAAGAAAGAAAACACTTGAAAATAGTAGTCAGAAGTTTTAACACCTCTCCTCTGTGAGAAGATACTGTCTTAACAGAACTTGTAATGAACATTTAATGCACAGTGTGTCTTATAGTGGTAGATGGGGAGTTCTGATTAATTCAACACAAGAAATGGCAATAAAAGGGCACTCTCATGATGGAACTGTGACACAGGAAACTGGGAAGAGTCAGTGTTAAGCCGGGGTGACTCCAAAAGGAAATCCAATGCTTGCAGCCACGTCGGTAATTGCCGTACTGGAGCTGCATGGCCACAAATGTACAATCCCTCCTCTGTGCTAGGAACAGACTGACATCTGTATCTGAGCAACTAGCAAAGCTGGAGCAGGTATTGCAGGTCACAGGAGCTGGACAATTATTGCTGCTGTGAGTTACCACATACGCTGCAAAGAGCTGAGGAGCCCACCTGAGATTGCTTGTGTGGCGTTGCAGAGGCCCTGCCCTGAATTGCTCACACTTAAAACAAGGAAACTCCCAAAAGATAAGAACGGAAGCAAAAACAGAGATTCAGGGATGTGTACTGACTTGTACATGGTCCTGAGGCAGGGCCAGCAGATGCAGCAGTGTCCCCTCCATGCTGCCTGCAGGGTGCCCTGGCTTTCTGCAGAACCATCCCCCTGTTACCTTTCTCAGAAGTCAGTCTTGGATATGGTATGATGAAAGACAACAGCTGCAAAATGATGGTGGAGTTTTGGGTAAAACATCTGTCAGGATTATCTGGACTGCTTTGAGACCTGCACACAGCAGTGCTCGAGTCCTTGGAGAAACTCTTCCCACCTGCTCTATATGTTTATGCAATTTATGCGTCTTCCCCAAAACTGATGACATGTCCTGCTTCCTACTAGAAAGCTCTGTCCATTCCTAAAGCTTCTCTGATGACCATTTCTGGTCTTTTATCATCCCATAAAGTTGTGGGTCTGAGGGGATTGTTTCTGCAGTGTCTTGTTCATACTGTTGTGTAGAGAAAACAATGTAAGTACTCACTACTGGTTCTTGCCTCTTACCTAAACTTGCATCCTTTGGGTTTCAGATTCAAACTCAGATGATTTTGATCCTGCTTCCACTAAAAGCAAGTATGACTCCATGGATTTTGATAGTTTACTCAAAGAGGCACAGCGGAGCCTGCGTAGGTAACATGCATCACACCCAAGGAAAACGGAGGGATGGCGAATACCTCACGGACGTCACGTCCTTCAATAATGGACAATTGAAAAGTCATACTTAGGAATTTCTCCTACGTTACACTCTCTGTTCGAAACCATGGTTTACATGAACACAGCTGCTCAACGAGTGGAGAGGCAGAATGGCTGTCCAGTAAGCACACGCGTGTCCATGGGTGTCAGCTTTGCTTTCGCGGGTGATCAGTGGCGGGGGAGCCAGGCGTTCCTTGTGAGTTCAGTGCAAATCACGAGACATGGCAGCAGTTCCACAGAGATAGACGAACAACGATGAACTGCAAAACCTGTACATACTGCATTTTAACAGAAAGAAAAGAACAAAAGCAAACAAAAAAAACCAAATTTGAGTACTATGGCTGCTGATGTCTGGGAATCAGACACTGCATTGTTATTTTTTTTAAATGAAGCTTCTCCTCACAACACGGTGATAATATGACAATCCAGAAGAAACCACAGGTCCCAGAAGCCTACAATCTTTCAGCTTTCTTTAAAGGTTTTTGTTTTCTTTGGGGATTTTTTTTTGGGGGGAGTGGAAGGGGTGTTTTTTTCTTAGTCCTTGCGGAAGAGAAAATGAAAGGCTCAAGCTTCCCTAACATTTTGAAGTTTCATCTTTTAATTCTGACACCCATGTAAATGTCTACAACGTTGATCTTCCACAGCAAAATTTTCAAAGCCTTGTTAATGGTCAAATGTGCAGCTTGTTCAGCAATTTATTCTAATGAGCGGACGTAGTGTTACATTATTAATGAGAGTTGGATGTAACTATCTGGGTGTGTGCACAGATAGTTTATTTGCTACATTCTCTAAAGTAGTTGAGTATTTACAAATGTTAAATGGAGTATTTTTATTTATGTACATACTGTATGACGATGTTCTTTTTTGTTACAGCTATGCACTGTAAATGCAGCCTTCTTTTCAAAAACTGCTGAATTTTTCTTAATCAAGACTACTCAAATGTAATTATATGAGGTGAAACAATTATTGTACACTAACATATGTAGAAAGCTGAACTTACACTTATATATATTTGATTGTAAAAAAGAGAAGCGTGTGGGCGAGGGTGTGCGTGTGTATATGTGTGCGCGTGTGTGTCTGAGTGCACAAATGCTTTACACACATTCATCCCTTCTTGGTGAGCTTCTGTAAGAATTTTGTCAAGAATTATCCTAGCCCAAAAGGTATTAACCACTTCTGCAGTATTTTTCCACATTTTTCTCATTGCTTGATTTTCTTTTGCAGTTTTATACACTGAATTTGTTAGGGGAATGAAATTTTCTCATCTAAATTTTTCTAGGAGATACCATAATTTTATGTAAAGTCTCTCAAATGGGTAATCATTAAGAAATGTTTTTATTTTATGTATCAACAGTAGTTTTGAAACTAGAGGTCAAAAATCTTTTTAAAATGCTATTTTATTTAATTTTTGTGATTTTACTTTGAAAAAAATATGCTGAGGTACTAAGTACAGTATGATTTTTACAGTAATTCTGTGTCTAAACGCTGTTCTTGAAGCCAGTAATCTTTTCATTGGCAGAGTTTAACGATGGAATTTATCTATATTTTTTACAGTTATGCATCCTGTATAAATACCGATCCTTCATTCCTTTGTTTACTAAAGAGACATATTTATCAGTTACAATTATCCTATTTATTATAAATTATGAGATGACTAAAACAGTAAAAAGGCCAGTGGAAATTTTATACCTAGGATGCATGATGGTTGTCAGTCTGGAATAAGTGCTTCGTTTGGGAATTCAGCTTTTGCAGAAGCAGTGGGTTGGTTGTTTTGTTATTTTTTTTCTTTTTTTTACTATGCACTAGCATGGCCTCAGATGTGCCCATGACATTGTTGCTGATGACATTGCTTCTGCTAAATTAAATAGAAACTTCAGGAAAGAAAAAAACCACAAGAGTAAACTACAGCTATTCTGAGCATCAGAATTTCATCTGAACTCGGAGTCTCAAGACTGAATCAGCAAAGTTTGGAATTTGCTTGTGAATGTATAGATTTGGTATTCTATTGCTGTTTGGCATTCATAACTCCTCTTAAACGTATGGCACACCGAACTATTTAATCTCTTTTCCCACTCCCAATCTTAGAAAACTGATTCCACCCCCATGCCAGTGCAGTTGATTTTGATGGCTGCATTCATTTTATCACCAGCATATTGTGTTTTGAGAGATTCCACTGTCTGTCCTGTCGGATGCTTGCTTGATTTTTTGGCTTCTTATTTCTCAGTAGATAGATAGCAATAAAATAAAATAAAATAAAAAAAAAGAAAAAGAAAAAAAAGAAAAAAAAAGAAGAGACCTTTTTCAGAGGTTCTGTGTTACAACTGTAACATTCTTTAATCCGCATAATTCTTGTTGTTGCTCTGTAGGTTAAAAATGCAGGTATTTTAACTTTGTGTGAATGCCAAACTAAAAGTTTACAATTTTCCTTTCTGGACTTTGAGTATCTTCTGTTGTAAAGAAAAATATTAAAAGCAATAAATTATTTTTAAGAAATCAATATTTAGTATATCATATTATGTGTTCAAGGACCAGATGCATTACCTATTTTGCCTTTAAATTTCTGTGATTAAATTTTAAGTACATTCTCTTTTGCCCTATATTGCTGACATGAATAAGTTGGTGTGGGCTTTGGGAGGGGATTATTTATTTTTCACCAAGCAGGCATAATGACATGAGTCAGGGGTTTGGTTTTTTTTTTTTCACTGGCCTGGCAAACATTCCCATCCTGAAGATGGCTTTCCTCTGTGGATTTACAAATTACATATGAAATTAATAGAGCTAGGATTGCTGAATAAAGCCATTCGTACCCTCTGTAGACACTGTAGTAGGTAACCTGTCAAAATATAAACTAAGTGCTTCCTTTTCTTTTTTTCTTCCCCAAGAACATTTCAAATTAGCACATGTACCACATTGTCACCGGAGGCAAATTGCAGCATAGCTCTGTGTGTCTTTTAGATGAAGATTCTACTGTTGCTTTCATGCTGTGGTAAGTACCACATCCGCAATACAGGTAGCAGAACTGGTACTTAGAAACTATGGTCTTTCCTAGAGGTGTAACAAAGTAATTCCTACAGAAGGTAAAATTATCCAAATTCAAATCCAAACAGAGGGAGCCTAAAATTGAGAAAGAATACCTGTGCTAAACTACTGTGTAAAGCAGTCAGGCTGCCATCACCAGGAGCAGCACTGGGAGGAAAGTTTGTGCCTCTGGGATATAATACTTGGGTCAGTTGAAAAAAAAACAAACCACCACACCTTCTCATCCCTTTAGATGTAAGTTTACAGTAGGTAATGATTATGTGTCCTTTTTGATGGCTGTAATGAGAACTTCAATCACTGTAGTATAAGATCTGATCTATAAACGACCTAGAATAGCCATGTAATATAATGTGATGATTCTAAATTTGTACCTATGTGACAGACATTTTCAATAATGTGAACCACTGACCTGATGGAGCTACTGTAAGATCTGTACAGTAGGTGAACATGTAAAGCTATTGGTTGGACTATGCTGGATGGGGAAAGTGAGATACTAGTTAAGCCCAAGCTGGGCTGTTTTCCACCTGCCAATTCTACATGTACTTCTGTGGTTTAATTCATTGTATGAAATTTCTGTGATTTTTTTTTCTTTTTTTTTAATGTGCAGTACACATCAGCCTCACTGAGCAAATAAAGGGAAACGAATGTTTCAAATCCATTTCTGTTTCTCTTTTTTATCACAGGTGACAGATTTTTTTCTCCCCAACTGGTTGTGTACTGGGTTTTCTGTTACTCTTTCTAATGGTCATAGTTGATTTCAAGATAGTCCAGATCCTGCCTGTGTTACTGCACTTTGGGCAGGGGACAGAGTCACCGGTTTTAATATATCTAATCTAGAAAGGTGCTATCTGCCAATCTGCCATGACTACACAAGGCTGCTGAAGAGCTGATGTAAACCTTGTAGGAAAACTTGAAAATGCTCAGTGGAGTTTTAGGAGTTGCTGGCTCAAGTCAGGAGGGGGTGGGTAATGCAAGGGCTTTTCTGCATGGCCATGCTTGGATCCAAGTTGTGCAGGCTATAGGGATTGACAAGTCCAAAATGATGGGTGTCTTCCATCCTGAAATTATAAATAACAATACTGGGAAAAGGCATCATCGTGAGAGCCCTTCACCAGCCTTTCTGTCTCAGCAGACGGGCTAGGAGGATGAGGCAGGTAGGTGGCTGGACAAGCATGGGTTCTCTGAATCTTTCCTGGACAGTGCAAGGTGCAGTATGGTGGGCTTCCACACCAGCATTGCCACTGAGCAGGCAACAGCTAGATGAGGGACTGGCAACATAAAAAGGGGAAGGAATTGCTTTTCTTTGGTTTGTTCAGGGTTTGTTCACATACTGCTGTAGGCCTACTCCATTGTGTCAGCAACCTTCTCTGGGGGTTAACAGCACAACGCTGTAGGACTGCGTCCGCCCATCTTGATGTGTGCCTCACAAAGTACCTGAGGCGTGATGTGAGGAGCAGCCTGGTTGGGGTCTTTTGGTAGAGAGGACTACTGCATTCACTTGGAAAAATTGCCTTTCTCCAGATGACTAGCCTCTACTGCATCTCTGTTCCTAACATTGCTGTTCGTTTTATACTCTGTAATGATACGGTTTTTACTTGCAAAAATGTTTAGCTTTTGCATTTTTACCATTTACTAATCCAAACTGTTGTGCTTGGTTCTCGCAATGGTAGTAGAGCGAAGTTCTTTACTGCATGCGCTTTGTGCTGTTGACGCGCTGCTCCTGATCAAATTAATGCTCAAAATGTAGTGAGCCAAATCCATCCCTGATGTACTTCTTCAATGTTGCTGCTGTTCCACAAGGCATGAATTTAGCCCAATACTTCTCTAGTGACTGTGATTTTTAACGTGATTTATTAATTTCATATTTTTGCATAGCACTTTGATGCTTGCGGAAAAAGCACTCTATTATATTTCCAGGAAAGTATTGCTTTTTGCCTCCCATCCCCTCATTTTATGTTATTGAGGTTTATTGCATAGAATGAGGACCTCGTTTATTAAGAAATCATCCCTTCCATTG